CCAGGTGCAAGTTGGGGGAAACGACCAAGGTCTTGCTGCAGCAGGCGGAGGAGGATGTGCTGAGCTTGGAGTTGGATGATGATGTGTGAGAGGGATGGATGATGACGGACCGGGGATTGTGCTTGGGAACCTGGCCTGCCATATGTTTAGTATTACAGATCCTGACAGTTAACTTACGTTTTGTTTTGTCTTAGTTACCTCTCATGTTGTGGTCTGCATGTTGTTCCTCCCCATGCTAGCGTTCACCAGGGCGCCTGACCTGAATATGCCATTTTTTTTTGTTAGTTATACTAGGCTTTACGTACTTTGTTGTATTTATGCAGGGCAGATTAGGCAGGTACAGTGAGTTTTATTCGCAGTCGGCTGAGCATTTACAGAAACTCGGCCGAGCTTTAGGGAAACTCGTCAAAATTGACAAGTGATGAGTTTTCCTTTAATAATCTCGTGCACGTTTTGCTCGGCTCGGGGCATTACTCACACTACGGAGTCCCCTGACAAAGGAGAGTTTTTTTCTCGCCTTGTCATAATGCACATGTCTAATTAGTGGTATCATCAGCGTGATCTGCATTGTTAATCGATAAGTTCTAGAGTCTCACTGAAAATGTTTTGGTAGGTGAGTCCGACAGTCGGCGTTGAGACTAGGTTCTGTATCGCAACTTCCAAGCCCTTCATATTCTCACTTTCCTGTCATTTCAGAATTTGAAACTGGCGACTAGCCGGAAGCAAGAGATAGGACGACACGTAACAGTTGCAAATAGACGTCAGCCTAGGAGTTTCTGATAGGCGAAGTAGCAATATGGCGAAGTGGCGTCGAAAGGTTGATGCGCGTTTAGCAAGTTGTGTAGACAAGGTCGGTACAAAAGGAGATATCCGTTGAACTGTGAGAAACTTACTCACATTGGCGGAGGCAGTATTCTAAGGACGGTACAAAGCTCCCCTTCAAATGCAGTGGCGGTGTCTGTTGAGGAGGACAAAATCTTTATCACGATTAAGGCGATACATGCCTTGGTCAAGTCGAAACTGATCTTGATGAGACAAGAATACAGATAATGTTGCCAAAGCCACAGCGCATGTTTGATACCTTAGGAAGATTTGAATAGACGACACACGTTGGATGGGTTGACAACAAAGCCGTGCGGCTGCTCGACGAGGATCATCCCGTCGCCGGTAGCGTAGAGAAACAACGTTTCGCGAGTAGAATGTGTGGCGTCTGATGGGCACGAACCCCTCGCCATAGTCGAGGCCGTTGAGTTTGGTCAAAGCCAACGAGCTTTGAACCGCTCGATGGAACCCTCTACATTTTTTTAAATAAGAAACGCTCACCTGCCACGTAACATGTTCGTGTTAACTGTGTAGAGGAATCACCTTCCAGTATAACGACCCCCTAACGAGTTGAGTTCTCAGTCCATGGCTTTGCACCACTTCTCGCGGTGAGGAGTTTGCCGCGGCTCCTCTAGAATTGCATGCCCACTCACCCCCACCTTTTTGTTGTTGTTTTCATCCCTTTGCCACTCCCTGTTCCTCCTTGCTGCATAACTCACACAACTGCCACTTCACAATTTCAACCTTTCCAGAAATTTGAGATACAATACACTTACCGGGCTTGTTTCACCCGAATTTGGGAGTCTTTCTCAACTGCAATTGTAAGCTGAGCAGGATGGGTTGCATGCCATGCCATGTTTGCATACTCCCACTCCTTCATTGCACATGTGTCCATGCACTTTGTAGTCTTCCTCCCTTTGTAATGTGCATCCTAATTTTTCGCCTCAATATAAGAGCCGGGGATGGTTCTAAGAGTCATGATTTTCCGAAGATGTTGAAATCTTCTCTGCACCAAAACTGGTTCTTTCTTTTCCAACTAATGTCCCCATGCATTGAAAATATGTGATAATTCTGCACCAAAACTGGTTCTTTCTTTTCCAAGTATTGTCCCCTTGCTTAAAAAATATGTGTTAATATAAGTGAGAACAATTCCTATAGACAGGATGTTGATGAAAGAAACCTAGTTAGGAAGAGAAGAGCTTAGGAGAAAATTAACATTGGCTCATGTGAGCTTGCAGAATACACCTTCAAGAGAACGATGACACAGAACCCAGATCTAGATGGAACAGTGACCCAACTGGCCTAGTGAGGCTGGTTGGACCAAGGACCCAACTGGCCTAGTGAGGCTGGTTGGACCAAGGACCCAACTGGCCTAGTGAGGCTGGTTGGACCAAGGACCCAACTGGCCTAGTGAGGCTGGTTGGACCAAGGACCCAACTGGCCTAGTGAGGCTGGTTGGACCAAGGACCCAACTGGCCTAGTGAGGCTGGTTGGACCAAGGACCCAACTGGCCTAGTGAGGCTGGTTGGACCAAGGACCCAACTGGCCTAGCGAGGCTGGTTGGACCAAGGACCCAACTGGCCTAGTGAGGCTGGTTGGACCAAGTACCCAACTGGCCTAGTGAGGCTGGTTGGACCAAGGACCCAACTGGCCTAGTGGGGCTGGTTGGACCAACCAAGGACCCAAATGGCCCAGTGGGGCTGGTTGGACCAACCAATGACCCAAATGGCCCAGTGGGGCTGGTTGGACCAACCAAGGACCCAAATGGCCCAGTGGAGCTGGTTGGATTGCTGCCAACTGTGGGAATTTGCCACCACCCACCTGAGGTGTTTGGCCAACCGTGTACAATTGGCTGTCCTTAACAAGAGTCGACCAACACACCAAAGTCGGTTCTACATCTAGTATTGGGTTTATCTCGATTGGGGTGTTTACCCAGTCTACACCTAACTCTAGAATGTGCAGTTATAAATATATAACGTATCAGTAGATAGCTATGAGATTGTGTGTCTTGACTAGTTCATGCTGTCTGCGTACAAGTTGTCCAAACATACATGGCCGAGTCACATGGCATTCTTTCCATCGTCGAATTGCCCACTTCCATTGCAGCAATTTCAATGGCAACCGCGTCTTTTGTCCTGCTGATAACACCAGCTGCGGCCAAACCCCAGTGACAACGGGGCCCTTCTGCGAGATGTGTTCCACCTTTTGTATTACATGCCAGCGTCCAACAGGTCAACAGGGGACGTAAAGCTGGCCTAGTTGAATTACCCCCACTTCTGACATGCTAGTGACGGCCAGCTCATTCACTTTGATAAACGGCCTCCTGTTTTTCTGCTCAAATCATGCTTGCGTTGTTGTGGCGACTTGCTTTCGTTTCTGTTGATGCAGAACCAACTACTAGCAACAACAGCAGCAGCAACAGCAGCATCAACGGAAGCAACACCAGCAACAGCAGCGAGTCTTCGTCTCCAGCTGCATCTGGAGGTGGAGGTGGTGTATCAGTGGGAGCCATCATTGGCATCGTTGTTGCTGCTGTAGTCCTTCTCCTGCTTCTGGCCGCCATACTGCTCTGCTTCAGGCACCAGAAGCAACAAAATATGAAAGGTGGGAGAAGCGGCATTGCAGAGCCAAGATGTTGGTGCTGCATATGCTGCTCCTGCTTCATGAGGGTCAATCCTTTTTCCTTTCTCCCTTAATCACGATCAGACAGGCAAGGTAAGGCGAGGGCTTTTGGAATACTCTGTCACGTCACCCTTCACCCGTCACCCCCACACCACACGCAGGCATGGGAGGCAGCCTGGCAGCCTCACAGTGCACGGAGTTCTCGCTGGCTGAGGTCGTCAAGGCCACCAATGATTGGTCTCACGACAACCTCCTTGGCTCGGGTGCCTTTGGCGACGTCTACAAGGGCGTGTCTCCCCGCGATGGCACCACACCCTGGGCAGTGAAGCGCTCTAAGCTCATAGGCGTGGATTTCCAGAGGGAGGTGAGTGAGCTGCAGAAAATGGCTGGACTGTAGACTCAGTCGACATGGGAAATGCAATCTCCATTTCTTTTTAATGGGAGGGGAAGCAATCTACCGCAACATCATATATTTTGGTCCACAATGTACATCGCCCTGCTCCTCTTTCTGAATCACTCTACTCTTTATTTTCTCAATCTACTCCTCTTTTGCTTCTTAATCTGCTCCGCTTTCTCTTCTCACTGTACTCCCTTTCTCTTCTCATTCTGCTCTGCTGTTTCCACTGACTCAACTCCTCTTCCTATTCTGCCTCTAATCCTCTTTCTCTTCTCGATCTACTTCTGTCTATAGAAAAAGAAAAGAAAAAAACGCAATTTCGAGTAGCACAATACGGAATAAACGAATTTTCAAGTTCAGAGAGCAAAGACTGGCGTAGCAAGTGTGGGTGTGGATGCTTTGCACTCTGTTCTCTTTGTTCTTGCCTGGCATTATTTTCTATGTTGCCATTGTCTTCCTTTCCAGATTCTTCAAATGGCTGACAAGAACCACCCCAACATCGTGCGGCTGTTGGGGTTTGCGGTTGGAGGGGACATGAGGACACGGCCAGAGCAAATCTTGATCTACGAGTTTGTGCCCAACGGTGACCTTGACAAGTGGATAGGACCAAGTAAGTGTCCAAGTCATCTTACTGCACTTAATCGGATGTACGGCCCTAGAGGAGTGTATACATGGTTGAGTAAAACACTTCACTGCCGATGAGGGCTAGCCATTTAGTCGAACACCTGCTACTTGTTTCCCACCAGGTCCCAAAAGGAGGCATCGAATTCAGCTGGTCATATGGTGTTGTAAAATGTTTTATTAATGCTTCTTGCCTTTCCGCTCATGCGAGGCCAATCATGCTGTTTGATAAGTGTCCCAAAGGGAGGCATCGAATTCAGCTGGTCATATGGTGTTGTAAAATGGTAAGTGTGCTGGGCCTTCAATCGGATCTTCAATCGGAGTGTGTACTGGGTTCTTCAAAACACTTACCTGCCAATGAGGGCTAGCCATTTAGTCGAGCAAGTGTTTCCTACCAGGTCCCTAGGAGAGGCATTGATTTCAGCTGGTCATATGGTGTCGTAAAATGGTTTATAACTGCTTCTTGCCTTGCCGCTCATGCAATGCTACTCATGCTGTCTGATGTGTGTCGCAATTCTCATCATGTGGCTCCTACCAGAAGCACCTGCTCCTCTGAGTCTGAAGCAGCGGCTGGACATTCTCATCGGCATTGCACGTGGCTTTGAGTACCTCCACAGCTTCGGCATTGTGCACCGCGACATCAAACCCGCCGACATCCTCATCACCGATGACATGCAGGCAAGCACGGCTGCACAATGATGCATGGCAAAACAGCATGATGTTGCAGATGAGATAACAGATCAGTTTCAAGCTTGGTTGAATCAGTGTCACTACAGCAATGTCGCTAAATCAGTGTCACTATATCACGAACACACTCCTTGTCTTTTCTCTTGTCTAAAGGCAACGCTCGCTAGACACCAAAGATTAATATATATATACTAAGATTAACATTAAGATATATATATATATGTATATGTATATTAATTCACATCACCTTCTCCCTTGTTAACATCTGACCACTCGCCAGGCCAAGATTGCAGACTTTGGGCTGCTGAGGATGGGAGAGGGAACGACAGTGGGCACGACCCGCATCATGGGAACACCGGGCTATGTGGATCCAGTCTATTCGAAGACGTTTAAGGCCACCGCAGCCAGTGATGTCTACAGGTGAGCCAGAATCATAGATCGTGCCATCTGAGCCAGAAAAATCTGGGAGATGAGTAGTCTAGAAATTCCAATGTATTCCTGTAGGCAGACTCTGGTCTGGGAGACGCCATGTAGTCCAGGAAAATCAAAGAAGGGATATTTGGGGTGGGAAGGGCGGTTGGGTGCCGCCCCTCGCATGCTCGGCTAGGCGACAGCATCGGAAAAAAATGACGCGAGGGAAATTCTGCTTATTCTCCGAAGAGTCTAGGAGATTCCAAAGAGTATTTAAAGATTTGTCATGTACAACGTCTACATCGTCTTGTACAGTAAGCATTTGGAGTATCTCAAGTGTGGAACAAGCTGGTCTTAGAATTCGGCTGGTTGCCCAGCCCATTCAACCTAGTTAGTCTGATACACAAGATCCTTCTCTTCTTTGCGTAACTTCTCCTGCTGGTCTGTCCTTATGAGTCATGTTCTGTTGCACCCCTTCCAGCTCCTACAGATTCTTCCAAAAGCAGGGAGTGGCTGTAACGAATTCTCCTTTGCATCTCACTATTTCCTTTCTTGCATCTTCTCTTGCACGTTGCAGCTTTGCTGTGCTCATGCTTGTGGTGCTCACTGGACGCCCTCCACTCTCTGAGGAGGATGGGGAAACCACGAAGATCATGCCATGGGTAAGTTCTCCGTGGACAGGATTCTGTGTGTTGTCATGATCCCATTCTCTCAATTCAAGTGATTGAAACCGCATGAATGGCCTACTGATACGTGTTTCACGTCTTCACACTTCATGCGACTATTCATCCCCCTCCAATCCATCAGGCATCTGAGTGCCTATCTTCGGGTGACTTGGGGAGCCTCAAGCACCCCACCATGGACGCCCCTGGGGATGCCGTGCTGCGCTTGGCTGGGCTGGCAGTCAGCTGCACTGTGGAGCGCACTGCAAGCCGCCCAAGCATGGCGCACATTGCCAACGAGCTTCAGTCTGTCAGGGAGGAGGTGGCGGGGAAAGACGAGCTGAGCGCTGCCGTTAAGGTGGATTCCCAGGTTCAGGAGATGAAAGATTCTTTCGCGGGTGTGGAAAGTCTCGAGGAACAACTTCAGATGATAGAGGATAACAGTAGCTTCATCAACAAACACCCAGTCTAGAATCAGAATGGGGATATCGCGGATGTGTTTCACTTCAGACTTCTTCCGGGACACTGTGTTGCAGCGTTTCCATCTTCCTAGGCTCTGTATTGTCTTGGAGGGTCAAGAGAGTGTGCTGCCATTTAAAGTTGCGGTACACATTGTCGATTAAGTGGTAACCTCTTAAGGCGGATTACCTGGTGATCTATTGCTGGGAATATGGGACATTCCTTGAATGCATAATCATCAGAACCATGGCTTACTTTTCTTTTTTTGTACGGTACTATGCTTAGCAGTGTTGTCATTTCGGGAACCCTAATTTTCAGGCTGGCGAGTTGTCTTCCCTTCGGGCCTATCTGATGCATCAGATTTTTTTTTTTTCATTTTGCGTGTTAATGAATCAGAATTTTCTAAAAACCTTCTATGACCAATCAAAATAGAGTTACTTTCGTGTAGATGCACATTCATTCGAAGAGCACACTACACTCGCCTTGTTACACAACAGAAGGGATTTGCACTATTATAGAGATTCGCCCTGTCTCACCGAGGAGACAACCTGTCACTCTGAGAGGAACGGGTTGTCTGTGGCATCGTCATGGCGTGAGCCCGCAAACCCATCCTCACCGTCCTTGTCTGAATCATACTCCTCCCCTCAGTCACAGCCGCGCACCTCTTTCTCTTGGGCCTCGTCATCAGCGAGCTCCTTCCCCTTGCGCTTCCTGTCAGCTGGTGCAAAGACTGGTGACTTGGCTGGGCGCCGGGCTTCTCTCGCCACTTGGCCAGAGCTGCTTCCCAATCAATCTCATAGTCCAGCAGCAAAATTGCCATCAACTCAGCCAGTTGCGTATTGCCCAAGGCGCCCCTCACCCAGGACTTGATAACGTTTTGCCGCGAGAAACCTGGCTCGCACTCGACCGTCGACAGTGGCATCACTGCAGTAGATTGCCACATGTGCATGATGTTTGGACAGCGCCTGAAAGGAAAACACGTAAGGAGATAAAGGACAGTATTTAGGCGGGGTAATCGACATCTATGGGAAAGGCAGAGATAGGCAACAAGAAGGTTAAACGCACCTGGCTGCCTCAGAACCCCTCCTCCTCATGGTGCGCCTCCATGATTGGCACCCACGACAGCAGCTCCCTCTTGGCAGGAGTAAATTCGAAGCCGGGGAGATTGTCCCCAAAGATTGCACTGCATCCGTGAAGGTGCTCCCGTACCTTCTGGTCGCGTTGATGCTGTTGCTTGGGCCACTTGGCAGCTTCGTTGGGGCCAGCTTCCTGAGGTCTGAGAGGCGGAAGTTCAGCATGTTCCTGTGCAAACTTGGTGCACAGCTTCTCGCACTCTTTGTACGAGCTGCCCTACACATGCCCATCTTGGTGCCGCTCGTGTAGCTTGTAGACGTGGGACACGGGCTGTCCTTCAGTGTCCACACCACGCACCCTTACCTTCTTTCCCCCACCCCTCCCGTACATCGCTAAAAACTCCGACAGCACGGGGCTTTCGTCGGCTCCCATCACGTCCTCGCACTCAAGGTAGCGTCGCGGCATGTCCTCCGTTGCCTTGTCTATATCCTTCGCGATCTCTATCACGTCAATATGCAGCAAGATGTGACAGGGTCTAAACATGCAAGTTAGTGGTTCTATTCTCTAAGTTTTCAACGAGAATACTTAATGGTACATTTTCTCACCTCTCTCTTCTGGAACTAGAGGTTGAGCTCGTTCATGATGGCGAGAACGCCTGCAAGGAAAAAAAAAAGACAAAAGTGAAACTTGTATGATGTGACTGTCTCGTACAACTTGTACTTCTTTCCAGCCATTATGGGGATGGAGGCGCCGAGCACCCTGCACAATCGTCGCACTGCCTCTCCGCGTGACAACCATCTGACGGTGTGAATGCCCTGGACCTCTAGGTTTGTCTTATCTATGGTCTACCGAAGGTACTGAAAGCGCTGGCTCGAGTTACTCGAGCTCGACAATAACGCAGCCAGGGTCCTGATGACCTTGTCTACCATGTCCATGTCTGGACATGATGTGGCAGCATCACGAACCACCAGCGCTTTCATAAATTGTAAACCGCCACTATAAACCTGTGCGCGATCCTGTGGGAAGACACGAGGTGAGGGGGATGTGCTCGCGAAGTTGTGTGACCAGGCCGTTGTCACAGCCTATCATCACGTTGGCGCCGTTGGAGCTAATTGCACAGATGCACTGCAAGTCCACTCCGACAATATGCAGATGACTCCGACTAACAGAAACGAGCGACGCAGCGTCACATTTCTCGACCGGGAGGTGCGCAAAAAACTCAGTGACAGGGCGGTTATGTCGAAGGAAGGCAAGATAAACGATGAGGTGTTTCCCGCGCATGCGGTTGCTGCTCTCATCCGTGCTGATGCCCAAGAAAGGGGACGCCAGGATGTGACGCATCTGCATCGACTGCAGAAGGGTAGTGAGGCAGTGCGCCAGTAACATTGACATTGAAAGTTGTAGTTATTTTTATGGATCTTAACATCGCGGTTTAAACTGGCAGCAACTAAGGACTCAAAAGCTTTCAACAACTCACCGAGTAAGGTAAATGTCATATGACTATTGTGGAATGTATGGCGTATCCTTGCTTAGCAATGAAACGCACAAGCTACGCAAACATAGAAATCGGTGCATCAACCTTACATATAAACTCCGTTGTGCGCAGCAGCCAAATCGCTCTGCTGCCCTCCACGTCCTTCCTCGTGAAGCCATCCAGCCTCTTTTGCTTGCCCTCGATCACTTCACTGATCTCCATCTGCCGCTCCACGACTTCTGTCTGGATGGTCGGTGCTCGTGAATCCGCATGGTCTGTGTTTGCAAGTCGCTAGCATTGTCACCGTTACTCCAGTACTTGGTAGTCTCCTTGCCAAACGCCCTGCAGATAGCACACTTGAGAGAAGGGTGCCCATACTTGGCACGGACGAGGAGGAGCCACGGAAAGTAAGGTGGCCATTGTCTCTATAATTCGCCTCCACCAGCAAGCAATTCTGTTCTATTTTCTCCTTAGCTGACAGCTTGATCGGTACCGGCTCATCAGGTGTGGAGGGAGGCGGTGAGGGAGGTGGGGATGGCCTCTTGAAGCTACCTCCACTAACCATGGTGCTCTGCAACCATTTATGTGTTCGCTGCTTTTTTTGCGGAAGACTTGGCCGTGGTACATGGCACGCTCTAACGCACAATAGAGGCCGTTTTAAGGGTCTAAGAGAGAAACAGGCCCTTGCTAGATGATGCGACAGCAGGAGGTATTTGAAACTGTGTTACTGGTGGTGCAGCAATCGGCGTAGTCGCCATTGGGGAATGAGTTACTGCCTGTTGTAGCGGACGTGCTGTATCTGGGACCACTATTGCGGGGCGCAGGGAGTCGAGCCCTGACCTAGGGACAGCAGGGCCAGCCTCCTTCAAGCAAAGCTCGTCCGCATCAGCGGACATTGCTTCATTTACGCCGTGCTCTATCATGCCTCATGAACAAGTGAAGTTGGTTGAGCAGGAAATGGGAAAGGCAGCCAAACTTGCTAGTGAAGGCTTCTATTTTTTTTCATTGGAGAAGGAACCCACCACCGTCCAGATGTGCAGACAACAGGATGATGGGTTGCTGACTACCATGGGTGGTGTTGCACCGCCATGCCTGTCACCCACCTCTGCTGCCACAAATGTACAGCGTGAGTTGCAGCGCTAACTAACTTGGCTGCTCCAACACTGACTTTCCCCCGCTGATACCGCATGGCTGCAGCGATGTCCCACGTGAATGAAACAGCGGGCTAAGTTGGCGAATTTCTAAGTGAAACGGGTGGCAAAAGTTGCCAAGTACAGATTTTGCGTGTGACCGTGTATTTGTACCCTAGCAATATATGACGTGTAGGAATGTACGTAGGAAGTATAGATGCGCATTTTGGAATCAGTACTCTCTGTAGCCTGAAGACCCATTATCCGCTAAGTAAGAACTTTGAATCGGTTAGTATTCTAAAAAACTATTATGAAGTACTCATGTTTGAAAATCTGACAACTCTGAAAATTCAGGATCAGTAGGAAAATTGTCTAAGATTTCAGACAATCATACTATTTTAGTATGATAAAGTCAGCCCTACGGCACAAATCCGATCTGTCACAGCAGAAATTGGCACTGTCACAGCAGAGATTCGCCTTGTAACAGCCGGAAATCGCGATATTCTACCGTAATTTCTCGGCAATCAAACCCGAGGGTCTTATTAAAAAGGTATTAAACAATGGCTTGGGTGGACAATAGAGAGTGGCATATTTATTAAGACCCCTGGACATGTGAAAATTTCATAAGACACATTCAAATCACGCATGACACAGGAAAATCTCGTTTTATTGAGGGTGTTGATAAAATCCATCGCGTGCATTCAAGTATTGACGGCGGATTCGCCTCAAATTTGAATCCTGACAGCGATTCTGACACATTCAGATACAAAAATGACACGCTCCAAAAAATCGTGTCTCTTCGTGGCTCCTCCACCCCAATGCGCACGTACCCTCAATCCTTTGTTACAATATATACTACTTTGGGTTAAAATTGAACAAGATGGAGGGTCTTATAGCCTACAAATGAAACGGGGGGGGTCCTTAAGGGAGTAGCTCAACTAAACGACTTGTAGTCCGGAAATAGTACCCGGGGGCCCCTACGCGGGGGGGGGGGGGGGGGGGGGGGGGGGGTTCAGAATAATGAACACGAGTGAATGAACTAGTAGCAGGATGGGTACAAGTAGGAAACCCTAATTGGGTTGTACCCCATATGGGCTACCCCACTACAGCCTACACAATAAGCAGCTTATATGTTTGACACACCCCCATAGGCAAAGTGGGGGAGAACAAGAGGTCACAAAACCAGTCAAAAAATGCAAAGCAAGCTCAGGGTGGATCACGAAGTCACCACGCATTCTGAGCACAAGCAAATGGCCACAAGGCCAGTTCACATGTAGAGTTATATAAATATATGAGAACAAGCAGTACAGTGATCAAAACCTAGCAAGTGTAAGC